TCAAATAGTTCTATCCATTAAAACATGGATAGAACTGTAACTACATTAGTGATAGTAACTTTAATAATAAAATAATAGTCAGTGCAAAGTAGCCTACAAATTCTTTGGTGGGGAGTGGTGAGGGACCTGGATACAGGCTAGGGGGGCGCTGGCCCGAAAAAGGTTGAGAAACACTATTCTAGTATTTTCCGCAAGCTAATTTTAGGAAGAGTCTGTGTCAGCTTGGTTCTTCACACCACTTGTTGTAGCTGTTACATGCAATCTGAAAATGAAAAGATTCAAATGATCAAATTATTACATTTAGAAAAATCTTCTCATTATTCTCTAGCTGTCTTTTTCCTTTAAATAGTACTTATTTACTTGACACAACGTATCTTCAGAATCTATGAAGTTGTTTAGGTTCTGCTATAGGGATAGCAATGCAGAGGCTTCTTCAGATTTACTGTAACACAGACCGCGCTACAAGAGATATCTCCAAGCTACAATAACCCTTTGAAGAATTAATGAGTCACAACGACATTTCATTTCCCTTTGGGATTAATAAAGTTTTTTTTTTTTTTTGAATTTGAGCTTGAATATTAAGTGTAAAACATTCGACTCAAACGACTCGGCAAAGGTGTCAAAACCGTATTTTCTTCAAATAATCTGCGAAAGAAAATACACCTTTTAGGCCTTACATGGATAATAAACATGAAAGTTTTACGAATATTTTTGAAGGTTGTTTCGTCAGTCATATTTCAGTCCGTTTTGTCACTAATATCCCAGAGTTTATAGCGATGCGCGTTCCCGCGACGGGTCATGCAATTCTCGTCAGGCATGCGTTTCTCTGCATAACACCCCTCGCTGACTCTTGGTGTCGGGAGACCGTCTCTTCTGAAAGAAGGTTGGAAGTCATAACAGGTAGGGAAACGCTGAAATATCACTCTGTGAAATACATGCTTTCACAAACCGTGCGTAGTGAAAAGAAAACAAGTGCTAAGACTCCCAAGTGCTCTCCAAATCAGCGCTACGTCATCCACTGTACACACTGTACAGAGACAAAAAAAAGTGAACCAATACATTTAAAACAACATTTAAGCTAGTTGCACAGAGAAAGAGGGGTTACGCTCCCATAATGTCTGAATCCCGAAAAGAGTTAAAAATAACAAATTGAGGGGTATACTTTTTTTTTTTTTATCTCTCATGGTCTGTATTTGCACATTTACGATAGACGTATTATAAACTGAAGAGATTTCAAACCCCCCGTAAAAGTTAGCCATACTGTTCAGTTAGTCCTGCTGTTTATTTTACTTGCGCTCATAACTCAAACCCGCTATACAGAAATTCCTCAATCATTCACAGTGTGTGCAGATACATTTATGTTTTTATTATTTCCGTTTAGGTAATCTGTTCAGAGTTACTTACGTTCCACAAAGCCTTTTAGTGTGTATGGAAATCTTTTTTAAAAATAAAACTTTCGCTAAATAAAGTTTTGTTGTTCTTAATAGTTGACGCTAACATGCGATTTGTAATTTCTTTTCGGTTCCTTTACGAACGGCAGTCCCACTTTCCTGAACGGTTGAATTTTGAAAGGTTGAATCACATGCTAACTTCTATAATGTGTGTGGTTGGTGCATGCAAAATAAGTCAAAAGCATGCCAGAGTTGGGCCTGATTATTTTTTACGTCTACTCTTATTTTCTGAAGAAAGAAAAGTTCACTCCCCAGTATCCTTTCACTCTGTAAAATGCTCAGTTAAATATTATTGCCCGCTTGTATGTTATTTCATCTTGACTCAAACACATGGGTTACCTATTTGGACGGAACTCCTTCTGGTATCTGTTGATAAATGACATACCTTCAGTTCAAATTTCAAAGTTCAATGTTGCTCTTAGTGTCAGCTTAAAATTTAGTTTATTATGGCCTTCAGTCAAAGGCATTATAATATATTATAATTATGTTTTTTTTTTTAATTTTCTTTTGTTTAGTTTTAATTTAGACATAGCTATATAAAAGTAACTCATTAAATGTCAGGAAAATGTTTGCAGTATGTTGACATTCTTGTCTGTGTTACAGTTTTCCTGCAGGACTCTAATGATGTCAGCAGTGTTAGTTGTTCACGGTGGTGCCTGGTCCATACCAGATGAGATGGCCCCTGCCTCTGTTTCTGGGGTAAAAGCAGCAGCACGCCATGGATCTTCAGTCCTGAAAAGTGGAGGGAGTGCTCTGGATGCTGTTGAGGCTGCTGTGAGGGCTTTGGAAGACAACCCCACTTTTAACGCAGGTGCACAAAATGCCGTTTGTCACTTCTAGATAAATTTACGCAGCTTAGTTTGAATTTACAATACTTTAAAAGACTCATCTATAATGGCAATACCCATTTACTATGCGGTCCAGATATATCAGAACATTGTCTCCATCTACTGGTGTTGATAGTAATATTTTAATTTTATTTGTAATATTCCTTAGCTTGTGCTTCTTGGCCTTTTCACAAGATTCATCTTCAACATTTTAGTGTCTGTTATCCCTCAGAAGTTTGGAGACTTTAAAGATTGTAAAAGATCTGGGTAAACACCACAAAAGCTGGATATCAACAGTGTTTTATTATGGAGTTAACATGCAACTCCACCTGGTGGACAATTGAGGAAGTAGTAGCCAAAACATGCAAAAATCTTGTTATGTTTTCTTTCTGTACGAACACATTACAAAATATCTGCAAACCTTTCCTTTTAGGGTATGGAGCAACACTAAATATTGATGGAGAAGTGGAGCTGGATGCCATTATTATGGATGGAAGGACTCTTGCCAGCGGGGCGGTGTCTTGTGTAAAAAACATCGCTAATCCTGTGTCCCTGGCTAGAGCTGTCATGGAGAAGGTCTTTTTGTTCTACTTTGTTATTTATTCTTGTGCTCTGTTCTCTTTCTGTCTTTAAAAATATAATAGAACATAAGTTAAATAGTATTAGTGATAGATGAGGACTCTTTCAATACTTTTGCTTATTAAACATTAAAAAAACTCAAACATTATCATCAGCTAATTGAATTTTAGTATGTAATAAGCTGTGGAAATTTTCAGACATCCCACATAATGCTGACTGGCAAAGGTGCAAACCAGTTTGCAGAAAGCATTGGCATCAACGCCATTCCCACTGATAAACTGGTGACAGAATATGAGAAGAAGGAATGGGAAAAGCACAAGAAATACTTTGCAGGAGTAATGGAAGAATTCAACACTAAATGGTATGCAGTTTTCTAATGCACTGTTCAATCCAACTTTTATACGATGGATGTCTATTCTGTTTTCAGTAAAGCCACAGGTCCTTTATATCAAATCAGATCTGTAGCCTTAAAAATATTGCAATAAATCTGTCCTTTGCGATTTGCAAAGACGATTGCAACTTGATATGCTGTGCTGCTTTGGGGCCAACATACAAATCCCCTTGAATCTGGCAGATAACTCCAAATTAGTTGTCTGCATGTATGCTGACTGCACGTTTTACTTTTTAGTTAACAAACTTTTCTCATTGAAAGGGCTCATGATACCGTTGGGGCGGTAGCTGTGGACTGTGCTGGGAATGTTGCATGTGCAACATCAACTGGAGGCATCAGGAATAAAATGGTTGGCAGAGTTGGAGATTCTCCTGTGATTGGTAGGGCGTATTTTGAAATTCTGGGTTATTTTCACTAAACATTTTAATGAAAATAATCTGTCATTAAATTCTGCGCAAACAGAATAAAAATATCTTATTTTTGTTTGTCTTGTAAATAAGGCTGTGGAGGATATGCAAATAACTCAAGTGGTGCTGTATCATGTACTGGACATGGAGAATCTATTCTTAAAGTGACTCTGGCCAGACTCATCCTGTCTCATGTCGAACAAGGTAAAAAAACAAACAAAAAAAACAAAACACAAACTGCATAAAGTAAGATTTTACCTGTAGTCAAACATTAGTTGGATGAATTTCTGTGCTTTTTTGTACTGCTGTGATTTTCAGTTTATGAACTGTTTTTTTTTTTAATGTGAAACTTTCGATTGTGCCAGTCCTTTATAAAACAGAATTTTTTTCACGTAACTTTTAGTGCAATTAAACAACCACACAATTATTCAAGCAATATGTTCTCTCTTACTTTCTTTCTGCTCTCACAGGAAAATCAGTAGCAGATGCCTCACGGTTGTCCCTGCAGTACATGGGTGATCGTGTCCAAGGAGCAGGTGGCACAATTGTAGTTTCTCCATCAGGGCAGTGGGCTGCAACATTCACCACCGAGCGGATGGCTTGGGCTGCTGCTGCAGACGGTGTGCTGTGGTTTGGCATTAACCCAGAAGAGAGGCTGAATGAGAAACTGTCCCAGTAGAAGAAGGGTTTTTGAATTATTATTTTTTTTAATAGTTAATAACATGCATTTCAAAAGTAGTGTGTTCTCTTTTATAGAAGTGTTTTTCTTTCACTCGGTGCATATTAGTGAACAACTGACTATAATTAAATATGTGTACAATAATAAAATAAATGGATTTCCTTTCATTTCAGAAATATTAATGAAAAGTATGTTTATAATTGACTAATGTATTGATTGCTTGATATGTGTTTCATAGAATATTTTCACACATTAAGTTGTTTATTGTCAAACACATATTTGAGTCCAGTGCTAATAAAACATATCTTGTAAAATAGACTCATGAGGACTTTTTGGCATTCCTATAATTCCAAATGTCATAAGCATTGCTGTCAGCCTTGTAATGCTTAAGCTTTTGTATGTTTCAGAAGTGGCATTCTAACATCATACATAACTAGAAATAGAGAATGTGTGAACTTTTACATACATAAAGACCAAACTTCCAATTCTTATTTAAAAACGTACTAGATAAAGCAATCTTTTAAATTAATAAAACAATACCTCTGATAGCTATGTTTATTTTATGTAGTATATTTTTGCAACAAATTTAAAATACAAGCTTTCTAAACACAAGGGAAATAGTTTACTTAAGTATCTGGGCTGACTGTGGAATAAAACTCCCAAGCACAGTATTAAATTAAGAGATTTTTTTTTTTCAAGTAAACTACGGAAGAGATTCTGTAATATGCCATGTGTTCTTGGACAGGTTGTCCTGAAATGTGAATTTCCCTTTGGGATTTATAAAGTACATTGATTGATTTCATTTATCCAAACCTAATGACCTTACTGGAAGCCATTGCTCTAATACTCAACAAAAGCTTTTAAAAATGTCATAAACAAGATATTAGTAAAATAAGTATTAAGACAAGGCACTGTCCAATAGGATTGGTAGAAATCTGACCTGAAAAATTCTACTAAATAACTAATGTCTATGTCAAATGGAGTCTGTTTATTTTAATCCATTAATTTCAACCATTCAGACAAGAGATTCCCACTTTTAGATTATCCAAACTGTTGTTTCTTAAAGTTTGTAGCTGTGCATGCCAACCCCGCCACACCGACACTATTTAGTTTCAATTAGTTTCAATATAAATATACTGAAAGTATAACTTTGAATATAGTAACGCCGCAAAGTAACACAGGGATAATGCCCTTCATATTTGGAGAATGAGCTTCTTTGCTGTCCGTAAACAGAAACCACGTGACCACTGTAGTCGCCTGTCAGGAGCTTTGCAGCAGCGGGACGAATGACGGCTCCGTTAGAGGAAGTTACTGGGTGCAGCTGTGCTAGAATGTAACCTTATACGAGTGGGCAACGTTATTGCGGCACAGGAGAGGTGAGTCTGCTACACACAAACCAATCATTCACAATAACCCAACTGCAAGTCTATCACAACATGCACGTGATCGAGATCTTCTAACGGCCTCGTATCAATATTCGGGCTACAAACAAACTTGATAGCCAAGGCCTGTGCTAAAGCTACCTAGCTGCCGCCGTTTCGGAGATTTAGCTCCAAGTTTAGCTCAAAATATATGTCATAAATAATCCATGTTTTGAATTGTAAGGCACCCGACGTCTTTGAAGCAAAGAGTGGTGGTAATGTTTGTGACAGCGATTTACTGTAGGGGCATATTTTTTCCCCATAAAAGTAAAGCATGCTAGCATCCATGATGGCGTTCTAAAGCGGATTGTTGTCCTGCAGTGCTAGCCTGCTAGCCTGCTAACACGCTTTAATTGATTCAGTGAGGCATTGTTTTGATTGTAAATTTTATGGGTGGATTTTAGCTTAGCCTTAATGAAAACAAGCCTTAGCCAATCAGATTCCCGTCTTGTTTTATGGCGCACAGGCTGTTTAAATGTGGCTTGTTGTATGATGTGTAGTCTTTGCGGCTGTTCACCAGAAAATATTGGATACACGTCATCCGTCGCCTTACGTTTAGCCCATTTTACAAATTGACCACTAAGAGTTCTCACGTTGAATTCGCAGATAAATATCACAACTCGTATTTAGATTGTTGTTTGCAATCTCTGTTAGTAAACATGAGAAAGTTTAGCCAGATGTTGAGCAACTCGCAGTAGCAAAACATAAAGTTTGGTTGCCTCAGTTTTTTTTTTTTTATTTTAATTTTTTTTTTCATTTGCTTACAAAAGTTCGCAAATGCATCCTGCTTCTTATGTTGAAGCAAACAATTGCAGCAGAAACGATATTAAAATTTTAAAATAAAACCGTGATTATGTGTTTACTGTACTGTGTTCAGTGTTTGAAAGTCCTACTAGATTAATTTACATTTTACGTGACTTGCTTTAGACCTTTTATTCAGAGAAAAAAGTAATATTTGCTGTGGAATATTTGCACAGTTAAATGTAAAACATTCTGCTTTAAAACAAAAGTAACATTCGACATTTCTTTTCTAATTAAAATTTGTAGTTAAATCCTGAAAATAAATGTGTAAATTATGATGAAATCTTCAATATACACAAGTTCAACAAGCAGACACTGACATATCAAATCGATCAGTTACTTTTCGGTACCTATGTATTTGTCAATGTTATGGAACAGCCTACTTGCTTAATTTAATCAATGTACCTATCTTTGCACAAATCAAACATGGTTTTGTTGAATCAAAATCACAATAACAAATATCAGGTATGATTTTTACAAGGAAAAGGAAAAAAAAATGTGTATGTATTCATAATATACATGATTAAAGCCTTGTTGACGGTTTTCTTAACATTAGGAATGTAGTATTTTAGTTCCTGCCACTTATTCATACTGTGTGTTTGCCGTTTTGATTCAGGAAGGCAGCAGCATTCATGGATATTGTGGACACCTTTAACCATTTGATACCCAGTGACCAGTTGGATGAGTCCGTAACATTGAATCAGAATTTGGAATGTGAAGCCAGTAATGAGTTTGGGACAGGATCCAAACTGGAAGACTCTCTAAAGAACATGCTCAGTGACAAAGACCCCATGTTTGGATGTGCAAGCACTCAGTTCAATCTGCTGGAAAATGAAGATCCTGCTTTTCACATTGCTGGCTCAACAAGTAAGTCCAAAGCCAAAAAATAAAAAAATAAAAAAAAAATAAAAAGTTGAGAAAAATGATCTTGTCTAGATTTTGGGTTTGTGCCTTTAAAAACAAAAATGTAGAATTCTCACTCGTTTTATGAAATCTTTAAAAACAAGTTTAATAAACATATCTGTAAAGATTTTTTTTTCTTTGCTGGTTTTGCTTAGTTAATTTTTAAGCCAGTTTGACCTGAGTTCAAACACTGAGATGCTTTTGAAAGATCCTCATGGTAACCAGCTGTGTGTACGTAGACCTTGTTTTATCAACACACGAGCACTTGCTGGTGCGAGACTCAGTTTGATAACGTTGAGTTAAATTAATAGTTTCACAGTAGCAAAAAATGGCGAAGAAACAAAACTGCATTGCATGACTGCTGTTCTGTTTTTGTTCAAAACAGAAAAGCAACAACTGTTCCTGAAGCTAAGAAAACACATTGATTATTACAGTGATAATGTCATCTATAACATATGTTTATTTTGATTTTAATACCTAGATTAAAGGGGGGAAAAAAATGTCAACATTTTTAAGTAACCATGCAAAATATTGCACTGTTTTGCATTTTTTGTTTTTATAGAGAAACACAAGTATATCCGGTTGCTTTTAGCTGGTTGGTTTATTGGAATGTTAGCCTGCAGCCCGGTACTTAGCAGAACTCATACATTTCCAAGTAGTTTCAATATGGTATTATCATAATAAGAGTGATTGATTTAGCTCCTTTATTGTACACCACATGACTGCTTGTCTTTTTCAGAAGCTGCTAAATTTGCCTTTATTGCAAGAGGGAAGAGAGCGAAAAAGTTTAGTAGCCTTTCTTTAGCCAGCTGACCTGTACTGTGCAGCAGCAGGTGGAAAAGGAGCTCAGCTGAATTAATTGATACTATACTCTTTTTTTTTTTTTTACATTACGAATAATATATTAGAAAATATAAGCACTTTGGAAATGGGCTTTTGTAAATATTATTCTATTTTGATATCTTTGACAGGCCCAAGCCTTGTCAGCAGTATGTGTAGATCAAGACTTTGTTTTAAGCACAATAAAAAGTCAGTAATATTTGTCACTGTCATTCAAAAAGTCAGCATTTAGAATTCAGTTGTAGTTTACTCGCGCTTTACGTCGGCATAAGGAGCAGCTAGATTCTTTCCTCTTTGGTTTTTGTAGGTCCGCGTAGGGATTCAGAATCTGCAGGCCTCTCTAGTGAACTGAATGTTGCTGAGACCTCACAGGATAAACAAATCACTGGCAAGCAGAAGAAACATCCCAACAGTTTAGACTACGGTAAGTAGGGAGTCATTTAATGTTAGGTGAAATGTTGATTGGAAACGCAACAAAAAAAATCATCTGGTGATCAGAAAAAGAAATTTCATGATTGAGCGGTGATCATCTGGCCGGAAACTAAAAATTTGCTGTTGGACTCTGGAAAAAAAAAATGTACATAGTGATCTGATAAATAGTAGATTGCTTCAGTTATTTCAATAGATGTTTGTTTGTTTTAGAATTGGTAGTTTATTTTTAAGCTTAGATATACACGGGGTTTGATAAGGAAGGCTGCTGTCGATGGACAGTCTGCTGCTCAACATCGTCGTTTGAGTCTATAAAATAAACGTTTGTTTTTATGCAAATATTTAGTAGAAATTAGTTAAATTTTTACACTAATAGTTATTGAGAAAACAGAAGAACTCCAGATATGAGAGCTTCATCAAACAACACAAAACCTAGCTGTGATACGCAACGCTGCTTTATTTTATTATTTGAACTTTTAACCTCCGTCAGACACGGAGCATAAAGCATTAATATTTGCCACTTGTTCACACAAGTTTAAATACATCTTTCTCTTATTGATGTTTTTTTTTTAATTAAGACAGTAGACAGAAAACATTTTCTTTATTGGAAAGGCTAAAATCAACAGGTCCCCATTTCAGTGGTAGACCACAAACTCTCTGATTGGTGCATCTCCGATGCTAATTTAATCCTTTTAGAAAAACTGCATATAGATATTATGTCCAGCTCATAACAGTCAGCGAGAAAATTGTTTACAAATTTATGAACTAATCTGCTGTGAAAACCCTTCCCACAGAGGACGGTTTCACACAGGGAAAAGTTTGTTCTTTAACTGTTTGGTCATTAGAGAGCTTTTTAACATGTAGAAATTTGCTTAAAAGACAAGGAGTCATATTTGTTTTGTGTTCCTTCTGCTTCAGATCATA